ATTATACCAATCACTGGTGACAGGCAAATGTGTTGTTGCTATATTTGTTTTGCTGTTACAGTTTATTACAAAGGTTTTGTGTAATATATACATGCAGACTATGACAATACAGAGTCACTATGTCAACCTACAAATTGAAATATAAATATGTCCTTTTATTTTTTTTTTCTTTAATTGTACCCTAATGTATTATACTGTTCATATTAATTTGGAGGAAGGCTTTAGATGGTAGCAGATTTGGATGCACACATTTTATTTCATAGGTCTTAATTAAGAATTTTTTTTTTAAAAAGTTAACAAAAAACACTCTTGTGTAACTTTATCGTAATGGGAGGAATTAACAAAGAGTGATGCAAAACCTGTGCTTGCACCACTCTTAGAAATATAAAAATGTAAGCATGACTTTGTGAAGATTTTTGATACTAGTCTTATTTTTCACAGAAGTATCCCTCCCGCCTCATGCAACTCCCTCCCCCCCTTTTCCTATTTCCTTCCTTTATCCCCTTGCCTTCAAAAAAAATGTATATATATATATATATATATATATATATATATCTTTACATTATTACATTGTCATGAAAATATGATTAATGCCTCAATTTGCTTCCACATATTATTTAACACCTAGTCTCTACTTTTTCAGATTGGTGATTTACTAAAACTGGACAGTGCAAAATCAGGTGCAGTTCTGTATAGAGACCAATCAGCTTCCAGGTTTTATTTCCAAAGCGTAATCAAGCAGGCTGAGATTAGAAGCTGTTTGGTTACCATGCACAAGTGCACCAGATTCTGAGTGAACCAGCTATAGTAAATCCCCCCCATTCTGTTTTATGTATGTGTGACTATGCTAAGGTCATTGTTTTTTTACTTCCCACCCATTCTTTACTCATTACAATTAATATGAAACCTATTCTTAAAAATAAGAATGTATGCTATACTGTATTTGTTCGAGGGGAAAAGGAAGAGACACTCTTATTTCTTTTGTAAGCACATGTTACAGTATATGCATTAGTTTGATTATATTATGCTCATTTTTTCATCCTATACATTTTTCCCTTATGGTTATTTCTGTAAAACCTACTTTTATAAATAAAGAATGTATGTAAAAAAATGAAAGCAGATGTCGCTTCATTTGCACTCTGTTCTGCATGGAGAGCAGGCGCTGCATGCTCTTATCTTCTTTTATGTGAAATGCATACAAAAGATTAAAGCATATCTAAAAACACAGAAAGAAAAATGTAATATATTGCAGCTTAGCAGTAAGGATGAGTTTGAGCTTGAGTTTGGTCTGAACTCATATTTGTCCGAAATCTGAAGTAAGCTGTTTGTTATGAGCCAATCAGCTGCAGGCAGGGGACACCCACGTGGCCATATTTGGTCAATGATGTCACTGATAACAAGCATCTCCACCCCTTTATGTATGTGCAGTTGCAGAGCAGGGAATCCCCACACACAGCTGTTTGGCACTGATAGCTTCCTTTCAGGTTCAGTCTGAACCAGGGGCGGACTGACAACTCATGGGGCCCCCGGGCAATAGGGGATCATGGGGCCCCTGTGTCCTTGCCGAAACTCAAAAAAACCTATGAAAAAGGTACCATGGGCATCTCATTGGGCCCCCTACTGCCCTCGGGCAGTGCCTGAGTTTCCAAATGGTCAGTCCGCCCCTGGTCTGAACCCAATCTTATCCCTACTTACCAGTTTTTAGATGTGGTAGCTGCATTTTTTTGTTTTGTTTTTTCTTTTTTTTTCTTCTATTTTCAGTTGGTATTTCAGTGAATAGCAAATCCTCCAGGTTTCCATTGTATCTTTGGTGTAGCCATGGTTGTCACATAGGTCGGACTTCAAACACACCTCATCTCCATTACATGATATAAATCAATACAGTGAAAGGTCAGTGAATGTAGGTGAATTTACTTATATATCTCTTTTAATAAATAAACCCTTGAGGAAGGCACGACTTGCCATTGAGCACAGTAGGCCTATACCTATAGGCACTAGAGTCAAAGAAGCAGCTTTTCTCTGTATAGTTAAAGTGCCACTAAACCCAAATCATAAAAAAAAACTATCATTAAAATGCTGTATTCCATGCTGTTCATACTCAGTCACTATGGGATTCGTTTCCTGTATTCTGTAAATACCTGGTTGATCCTGCTGTTCTCTATCTTCTCCTTCTGTTCTTGCCCCCAATGCAGTTGGCAAATTTTGCAGAGCAGTATCCTTCTGCATATGCTCAGTTTTCAGTGAGTTTCTATGCTGAGCATTTCCTCCCTATCACATCATAGCAGCCCATGTGACTGTAGAGCAACATATGTGGTGTATACACAAATGACAGCCCACTCCCTCCCTCCTCCTCCATGTCCACTAACCAGTCAAACACAATGGGGGAGGGATGTTACATGTAGATTGATGGAGGCTTCACCTCCCTGTTCTAAGACACAGACTGGATCGGCGTAACATCCACATCATGTTATTGCCAAAAAATAATAAAGATTTGATGCCAAATATATATATATATATTTGTATGATGATTTAAAACAGTTTATTGATATTAATTATTTATTTTTAATCTGTATCTGAAAGGCTGTTTTTTTTTTTTAAATTTATTTTGAACATGTGACCAGCAGCAGAAGACTAGAAGCTCCTCCTGCTTATGTTTCCCTGCAGACAGGCTGGGAAAGAGCTGGGACATGTGACAGCTGTATATCGATTAGGAAAAAGGTACTTAGATATTCTTTTTAATAAAATAATAACAGTTCCATAATCCTTATACAGAAAGAGAAGAGATACTGTAAATGAAACAGTGTGTGTTTGTATCACATAAACAGTCATTCATTTTTCTATTGTCAGGAAAGATACAGTCATCTCATATAATCCTATTTACACTTTTTAACAATTTATTAAGTCAGCAAAAAAATGTTCTGTGCAAAAGAGATCCTAGCGAAGTGGTGTTACTTTTGGTGTCAAAGGCACATTATATATGCCTTACTACTCTAGTTTGCATGTGATGTACATTAGATAATCCTGTCCACTCTACCTTTGTGCACTGAGCAGTAGGTTACATATATCTGGCTGCTGCCCTCTTAATGATCTGCTTAAGACCACTGTACTCTGTGTGCTTTGCCGTACTTTACAGCATCTGCCACCCCTCTCTGCCAATCCCTTCACTGGCCCAATGAATAAAATTCAAAACATTAACAATAACATGTAAAGCCATTTATAACTCTGCCCCAAATTACATCACCAATCTTGTCTCCAAATATCACCTTAACCGTACTCTCCGCTCCTCGCACAACCTCCTGCTTTCTAGCTCCCTTGCCTCCTTCTCCCATGCTCGTCTGCAGGACTTCTCCAGAGCTTCCCCCATCCTCTGGAACTCTCTACCCCAATTTATCAGACTATCGCCTACTCTGCTCACTTTTAGGCGTTCTCTGAAAACCTATCTCTTCAAGGAAGCCTATCCTGCCCTCAGCTAATAATGGAATCTTCTACTCCTCCTACCAGTCCATCCCCCACAGTTATTACCTTTTGTACCATTAGCCCCTCCCTCTTAGATTGTAAGCTCTGAGGAGCAGAACCCTCTTGTATTGAACTTTATTGTTGCTGTATTGTCTCCCGTTATATTGTAAAGCGCTGAGCAAACTGTTGGCGCTATAAAAATCCTGTATTATAATAATAACTTTTCACACTCCAGAGTGCTGCACTGTGTTTGCTGTGCTGTGCAACATACTGTATATTCTGTATTTCTGCACATCATGGAATTATAGACTCCAAAATTCTCCCACAAGCTATACATTGTGCTGTACATTACTTCTTTGCACTCTACTGTATACGTTATATACCTTGCATACTCTGGAGTGCACTGCTCTGTACTGTCTGTTGTACGGTATGTACGATGGAACATTGTATGCTGTACTATACTCTGTATAACCTGGGTCACTGCACTCTGTATTGTCAGCCTGATTTCTTGGCTGCAGTATTAAAGGCAAAACATGTTTTAGTTTTGGATAAAGTGGAGTTAGAACCCCTGTCAGTTTTTATTGCTGTCTGTGCCCCTGTCAAGAAGATTCACCTTTTTTTTCCTGTTTAACATTATCATTGAATGTGAAAATAATGGAAAATCCCAAATTTTGGGTTGTCCCCAAAAATCTTGGAAATATTCCAATTGGGACACTAGTTCTGATGATCTGGGGGTCGCCAAAGAATTCCATTAAAGTGGTTAAAGGATTTTGTACCTTCATGCATTCTATGCATTCAGCAGCCCTCCCAGCCCCCCTAATACTTACCTGAGCCCCATCACAATCCAACAATGTGCACAAGAGCCTTGTCTCTCTTGGGATCCTCCCTCTTCATTGGCTAAGCAGCTCCCACTGCTGTAAATCAAAGCCAGTGAGCCAATGAGGAGAGAAAGGAGGCAGGGCTGAGCCACGGCTCTTTGTGTGAATAGACACACAGAGCAGCAGCTCTGGAGTGTGCCTGCCTGGGTGCCCCCATAGCAGGCTGCTTGCTCTGAGGGCACTCAGCAAGAGGGAGGAGCCAGGCATGCCGGCGGGGCACCCAAGAAGATGAGGATAGGGGCTGCTCTGTGCACAACCACTGTACAGAAGAGATAAGTATGATATATTTGTTATTTTTGATTATTATTATTGCCTTTAATATCCCTTAAATTTCTAGTGATTTCCTCTCACTTCCTGTTTTTGCTTTGGGACAGGAAGTGAAGGGAAATCTCTGCAGTGGACACAGCTGGGTAAAAGAACTATGACGGGGTTTATAACCCTTCCTTACTCTATCCAAAATGAAAAAAAGTTTTCCCTATAGTTCAACTTTAACACGAGACCAAATGAAACCAATTCATCTTGCTGCATCCTACATTTCTGCTCTTGCAATAGTTTCTGTATATATTCACAACATTCCATACCAACCTTATTATTCCTGTAAAGACCAATCCAGAAAGGTTCCTTAAATCTATCTAGTTGCACTCTTAGAAAGGAAGACGTGTACTCTTCTAAAATGCTGGCAAGGTCATAGTCCGATTGTTTACACATTCCCTGAGCCTCATCCCACTTCATCTTTGTTCTCTGAAACTTGTAGCTGGCATCAGCAAACATATACTGGTCTGATGGTGGAGTCACAGTTGTCACAACAGGTAGGTCAGGGTCTGGAGAAGAGAGAATAATCAAATCAGTCAAATCACTATCAAATTACAAAATATATTTCAAAGGTTAAGGCATAAATGTCCCTACTTGCTGCTGGCACCATCCAACTCCACTTGAAATTAATTTTGAGTCATTCTTAAAAGTATTCATATATATGGGCAGCACAGTGGTTAAATGGTTAGCACGTCTGCCTGGCAGTACTAGGGTCATTGGTTTGAATCCCAAACATGGCACCACCTGCCTGGAGTTTGCATGTTCTCCCTGTGCCTGCATGGGTTTGCTCCCCCACTCCAAAGACATGCTGGTAGGTTAATTGGATACTGTCTAAACTGGCCCTAGTATATGTATGAATATAAGTTAGGGACCTTAGATTGTGAGCCCCCTGAGGGATAGGGAGTGATGTGAATGTAAAATATATATACAGTATATATATATATATATATATATATGTATACACAGTTATGTTCAAAATACAAATAGCAGTCAGACATCACTAACTTGATCAATCACTGTTTTTGGTAGAAATGATATTTCTACATGGCAAATAATTTACTAGCAGGTGTAGTAGAGTAATAGAAATCCAACAGACCCAACAGTCATGACATGCATGCTGCTGATGATTCTGTGTATTTGAATCACTAATTGGAAGGGGCATGTTCAAAATAACAGCAGTGTGGAGTTCTATTAGTGAGGTCATTCATTCTTTGAAAAACAGGTGGCAATTATTGCCCTTATTTAAGGAAGGAAGGCAGCAAATGTTGTATATGCTGGTTACAATTGCATTTCTCTCTGAAATTCTGAGGAAAATGGGTCGTTCCAGACATTGTTCAGAAGAACAGCGTACCTTGATTAAAATGTTGATTGGAGAGGGGAAAACATATAAAGATGTGCAGAAAATGATAGGCTGCTCAGCTAAAATGATCGCAAATGCTTTAAAATGGCAACCAAAACCTAAAAGACGTGGAAGAAACTGAAAAACTACCATTCAAATGGATAGAAGAATAGCCAAAATGGCAAGGACTCAGCCAACAATCAGCTCCAGGAAGATCAAAGGTGTAAAGTTCCCTGTGAGTACTGTTACAATTAGAAGACGCCTATGTGAAGCCAAGCTATCTGCAAGAAGCCCCCGCAAAGTCCCACTGTTGAAAAGAAGACGTGCTGAAGAGGTTACAATTTGCCAAAGAGCACATTGACTGGCCTAAAGAGAAATGGCGCAACATTTTGTGGACTGATGAAAATAAGATTGTTCTTTTTGGGTCTAGTGGACGGAGACAGTTTGTCAGACGACCCCCAAACACTGAATTCAAGCCACAGTACACTGTGAAGACAGTGAAGCATGGCGGTGCAAGCATCATGATATGGGGATGTTTCTCATACTACGGTGTTGGGCCTATTTATCCCATACCAGGGATCATGGATCAGTTTGAATACATCAGAATACTTGAAGAGGTCATGCTTTTTATGCTGAAGAGGAAATGCCCTTGAAATGGGTGTTCCAACAAGACAACGACCCCAAACACACCAGTAAACGTGCAACATCTTGGTTCCAGACCAACAAGATTGACGTTATGGAGTGGCCAGCCCAATCCCTGGATCTTAATCCAATAGAAAACTTGTGGGGTGACATCAAAAATGCAGTTTCTGAGGCAAAACCAAGAAATAGAGAAGAACTGTGGAATGTAGTCCAATCATCCTGGGCTGGAATACCTGATCACAGGGGCCAGAAGTTGGTTGACTCCATGCAACACAGATGTACAGCAGTTCTCAGAAACAGTGCGACTACAACCAAATATTCATTAAGTGATTCAAAGGAAAGCAAAATCTTCGAACATTTTTCAGTTTATATAGTGAATGTTTGAGTTTGTAAAGAAGAATAAAAAAACTGCTATTTTTTTTAACAGTCTAATATTCACTTTTCTTCAATTTTTTTAGAGGAACAACACACATGTGATATATTTTTCTTCATGTTTTGATTTGGAATAGAATGTGTTGTGTTCCCAATGCATTTGTGTGTATGGAAATAAAAGCTATTAGAAGGATTTTGAGCTTTATTCACTTTTTTCAACACACTGCTATTATTTTGAACACAACTGTATATATGTACAGTATATATATATATATATATATACAGTTGTGTTCAAAATAATAGCAGTCAGACATCACTAACCTGATCAATCACTGTTTTTGGTGGGTTAGCTGTAGGTGGTCTATAAGGTCATAGAGCGCTGCTCTGCATTCCCTCCCACTTCCTGTCACATGCGAGCAGGGCCGGTGCTTCAACTAGGCAAACTAGGCAGCCGCCTAGGGTGCACTGCCGCCTAGGCACGCCTGGGTGCAGTATAGGCCGTCGCTCTCTCTCTATGGCCTATGGACCCCTTGTATGAAGTCTTAAGAGAGTCCCCCTCTCCTCATACACAGGGAATGATGGAATCTTTACTCTGCACAATTGTCTCACAGCCTGTCCACACACATGACCATTTAGTAGATATATGAGACAGTATTCCATGTAGCAGTGAAATGTCAGCTCCCCCTAGGATGGGAAGTGATGACATTAGCCCAGGACCCCGGGCAGTCAGCAGTCTCTGATCAGAGGATCGTTCTGTACATCTCCGATATACACACTGGCACACATGATCCTCTAGCTGTAACAGGGACCCGGCTAGTGACCGGGTGGGGCTTGTCCAGCATCGGCTCCACCTTCTTCTACACAGCTGGAGCCAATCAATAGGCGGGGGTGTGCTCTGGTTGCAGGGTTAATCCTATGTGAGTAGGATGATTGGGGCCCAATGTGTATGATAGGAAAGCGGTGTAGTGCTGGGAGACCGCCTGTCCTCACTGAGAGCCGCTGCCTGCACTCCACACCCTGGCAGGAGCCATCAGAGGTGAGCCGAGTCTAGGAGGATGGTGGGTTATGAAGGTGATGGGAGGAGGAGGGGGGCGGACCATGGTCGGGGTGAGGAGAGCGGATGCTGATTGATCGTATGAGATGCAGCCACATCATGAACGATCCTTCAGCTGAGGGGAGGGGGAGGAAGAAAGGAGAGAGGAAGATGCCGGGTGTCTGTGGCCAGTGTAGCAGCTAAGCTGCCACTCCTTCCAGTATTTCTCTCAGACTCAGTCCCTTACTGCAAGACGTTGTCGACTGCTGATCACTGCGGAGTTTTGTAACTGTCTCTTTTTTTTTTCTCTGTCTGATTGATTATTCCAGTTAATTTATATTTGGATAATATATATTTTGTCTTTAATATTGGTACTGCTGGCATCTTATGGCACTTATTTTTGCAAAGTAAAAGAAATGTAGCAGTTTCATGTTTTGTTGATTTAATATTTTCTACTGTTTTATTTTTATTTATTTATTGGGGGGGGGGGGGTGCAAGTAGCAGGTCTTGCCTAGGGCACAAAATAGTCTAGCACTGGCCCTGCATGGGAGGCATACAGATTGGTGCAGTCAATTTTGCTATCGATCCAGTGCTGAGCTGTGAAGGACACTGCAGACATGCTGCATGATCCCGCACAAGTTCGCACCAGACATTACACCTCCGTTTTGGTGTGAACGAGACACATAGAAAACCATTGTTTCCTGTGTGTTTTGCAGAAACCTGTAGTTTTTGACTGCAGAAAAACTGCAGGTCTCTGCAGATGCTGTGAACAAGTCCTAAATCTCCCCCATTGGATTAATATGAAACTTTAAGGGCACGTTCACACCATGGTGCAGAGACATCAGTTTTTCTGCACGCGTTCTGCAAGGACAAAAAAAATCAATTATTCTCTATGTGCCCTGTTCACACCACTAGTATCATGTGCAGAGTTTTTCTTTGTAGGAATTTGCAACATGTATAAAACTCATTGAAGTGCACATGAAAACTGACATAAACTGGTGTCTCTGCAAGTGAAATCTGTGCATCAGTTTCCAACAGTTTTTCTGCACAAATGGTGTGAACGAGGCCTAACAGGCCTACAAACTTCAATTGCTGGTACTGCTATTAGCAGGGCTTTTTTTATCAGAAGATCGGTAATGGAACTCAACCACGACCCCCGAAAATATCCCTTCCCCCACACATACCCTCCAAATCACATTAAAATAGTGGGTGTAATAAAATTTTACAAACAGAGGGAGGGTAAGGGGTATTAAATACCATGAGTGCATTACATAGTGTACAGAGTTGCGGGGGTTACATGCAGAGTGCAGAGTTCAGGGGTGCAGTGTATACAGAGTGCAGAGTTCAGGGGTGCGCTGCATACAGAGTGCAGAGTTCAGGGGTGCGCTGCATACAGAGTGCAGAGTTCAGGGGTGCGCTGCACAAAGAGTGCAGAGTTCAGGGGTTTGCTGCATATAGAGTGTAGAGATCAGGGGTTTGCTGCACAAAGAGTGCAGAGTTCAGGGGTTTGCTGCAAATAGGGGTTTGCTGCACACAGAGTGTAGAGATCAGGGGTTTGCTGCACACAGAGTGTAGAGTTCAGGGGTTTGCTGCGCATAGAGTATATAGTTCAGGGGTTTGCTGTACACAGAGTGCAGAGTTCAGGGGTTTGCTGTACACAGAGTATATATAGTTCAGGGGTGTGCTGCACACAGAGTGCAGAGTTCAGGGGTTTGCTGCATACAGAGTGCAGAGTTCAGGGGTTTGCTGCATACAGAGTGTAGAGATCAGGGGTTTGCTGCACACAGAGTGCAGAGTTCAGGGGTGCGCTGCATACAGAGTGCAGAGTTCAGGGGTGCGCTGCATACAGAGTGCAGAGTTCAGGGGTTTGCTGCATACAGAGTGCAGAGTTTCTGCATACAGAGTGCAGGTTCAGGGGTGCACTGCATAACAAAGTGCAGAGTTCAGGGGTGCGCTGCACAAAGAGTGCAGAGTTCAGGGGTGTGCTGCATACAAAGTGCATCTTCAAAATGTCTTACATTTGTTGCTGTAGCAAGCTGAAGCACCCAGTTGGCTCTAGTACCTCCCCACACACTGTAGGTGGCTCGCCTCTCTCATTTGCAAGAAGATCATCCAGTGGGGGTGTTGGCATCCACACTGCACCCCAGGCACCTGCATCTCTCTTATCCCCATCCTGCACCCAGAGGAGATCAGATCTGTGCGAGCTGTTGAGACACAAGCTATCATTTGTAAACACAGAAGCTGGACTTCTGTGTTTACAAGTGATGATAGTGGTGAATAGGAAGCAGAGGGTCTGAGTCAGAAGTGGTGGAACTGAGTTGCACCAAGTTCCAACTGAAAAAAAGCTCTGGCTATTAGTATTACAAAAGGAGAGAATGGAACTATCTATAAAAAAAATTAAATTTTATACCAGCAGAATGGAAGTACATAAGACAGTGTAATGCAAGTGTAATTATAGTATTATTGAGGGGTTCGCCATCATTTTTTCACTTAGATAAGTCCTACCTTCAGATTTTTGGCAAATGTATCCTTTCTTCAGTTCACAGTCTTCTTCGGTCCAGGTCCTAGCATCCATCACTGCACCCACTTTCATAGCCACACAGTCAGTCTACAAGGAAACATTTACATTGGCAGGATTACCAAAAGCAAATTAGCACTAAAAAATGAATGCAATGACAAACTCACCAGCATTCTTCACAACACTACAATGAAATTTGATAGAACGTGGGATTCGTGATTCAATACTTATCTGTCCCTTAGTGAGGCCTCAGCTGACCTTCCTCTACTTCAACTTCTTTCTTATTCTCTTTCTTTTCTCTTGTTTTTTTTCCTTTGATTTCATAATTTTAGCATTATTTCTTGATGTACTCAAGTTTAATGCCTGACTACTGCTGTTGTCATATTCTCAGGTGTTTAAATATTATATTTTCTTAATAGTGAAATATGTCCTGGACCATTGATGATGATTGCTGTTTATCCCTTTAGTCTATGGGTCATGCCAGAGGCACTTCTGGTTCCCATATATGTGTGCTAGAATTTATATTTGTTTTTTCCCTCTTGAGTATTGTCAATGCAATGGATGTTATATGTGACTGATAACCTGATAGTTGTATACCTCTTTTATTGTACTTTGTCATATTTGTACATTTGATCTTTCCAATAAAAAGATTTGACTTTAGCCACCACACCTAAGGATTGGTACACCGAAATAAATTCAATTTTTGTTCTAGAGTTTAGATACTTTAAAGAAACCTAATAACAAGTTAATCTGTTAGATTGGAGTAAAGTCATAAAACCTGGTATCCATATTTGTTTTAGGAGTGATTCTGCAGCTATTATGGCAAGCATCTCTCAGGTCTGTTTATCAGATTAGGTTGGAGGACAGCAAGGACATAGCGCCCAACTGTCCCTGATTTTGAGGGACTGTCCCTCATTTGGAACAAAGTCCCTCTTTCCTCCTCATTGGTTCTTTGTTTTTGTCTGATCTATATAGTTGTATAAAAAATGCACTACTTATCTATCAAAAAAAGAGATCATCGTTCCCTCGCTGGGAGGCAGAGGAACTCCCAGCAGCCGAAGCCCCATCCCGTGACAGGGGACACCGGCCGGCTCCAGGAATTGGGCAGCGCACAGGGGTGACCTCATCAACCCCCGACCACCAACGATATGCTTGCTGGGTGGCCAAGGAAGGCCCAGCAGTCGCAGGCCGGAGCCGAAGGGGAGGCGGTTCCCGGCTCCGGAGCCCATGCGGCGCGTGGGAATGACATCATCCGCCACAGCCCCCACCGCGCTCCGAGCCGCCCTTTCTCAATGGGCCCACTGGGCGGCCGAGGAAGGCCCAGCAGCCGCAGGTAGGAGCAGGAGATCCCGATTCCCGGCTCCGGAGCCCGGGTGGCGCACGGGGGTGACATCATCACCAGCTGCATCCCCGAAGCTCCGAGCCGCCAAGCCCCACCCACCGGTGGCTCACCGGGCTGCCAAGGATCCCGGGCTGCTGAGCAGCATCATCCACCCGGGCCAGCAGCAATCCCGGAGAGCTGGATCCTCTTCTCCCTCTTCTCCCACCCCCCTCACCAGGAAAAGCAGGCCGACGCTTTACTGGTGGGGCCAGAGGGTCCCCTAAGGGGCTCCCAGAGCGGCACCGAACCCGTGCTGTCAGTTCTGGGCTAAAGTGCACCGGAGGCACGGACCGCCGAGCACGTGTGCGCCTAGGAGAGGGGCCTGGTGACATGGGCCTGGGTCCGTGCAGCATGTCTGACAGCCTCTCATGCAGCCACCCCGAGCCATTTGCTTCCGCCGCTGCCTGCAATTGGGATAGCATCCCCTCCAAGTCACTCATGGCCCAGTGTTTTCTTTGCAGGTATAAGAGCAGGATGAAGAAACCACCCCCGTGCTGACACAAGCTCCGACTGACCTCCGACAAGACCCTTCCCACCTCCTAATCCTGGCAAGACCACCCCTCAAGGTTGCATACTCCAATCAGGTGAGTAACCACCCCCTTACTTCCTGCATATACTCCCACCCAAATACATGCTCCGCCTCGTCTACACGCCCCAGTCATGCTGGCCCTCCCTTTTAGCTTTCTTCAGTCCAGGCCTTGACTTTCCTAAGCATTAATTAATGTATCTAGTTATGGATCCCTGTAGATGTGCACATTGCTTGATGGTTCTGTTACTCCAGTTTAAATTTTTGTTGCTCTTGTCATTTTTTTGATCCCCATATCTACCTTTAAAATTCCCAAAAAGCAAATTCAAACAAGCTAAGTTCACTCATCAACAGCTACAACTTACTTTGTCCTCATAGTTATAATAGTAATAATTTCTCGCGGATGGATGACCTTTGGCCCAGTTGGTATAATATACTCCAGTCTGGTCTGTCCATCGATACTTCTTATCCCAGCTGATATCATTCAATCCAATCCAGACAGGATTTTTAAAATCTTTTAAATTGTAAGTCAGGAAAGCTGGAAGAAAACATAAATAATTTAGAACAGAAGAATGTGCTAAAAGGAAGCCATGACCTTGTTACGGGGTTGTACAGAGTGTGTAGAGGAATAGCTGACGAAGGAAGAGGGGGCAAAGGGCTAGAGGCTTTATCTTGATGCACTGCTGGTAAATGGTAACCTCAAATGCTTGTACAGTAACTAAGAGAGCATACAAAACATATTCTGAAAAATGAACAAAGATGTCTGCTTGCTTTTCATATGGGCACTTAAATTATGATACATATATACAAATGTATGAATGAGAGCAAACCACGTAGTCTCCATTAACCCTTTCGCTGCCAAAAGCAGTTTTTGCATGTTAAAAAATAATTTTAGGCCTGAAGATTACACAAAAACCACAAAAACAATATATATTTTCCGAAAGCAGACACCATAGAGAATAAAACAGTAGTAGTTTAAATTTTTTATGTCACACGATATTACCACAGAGGTCTAAGAAATGCAAAATTTCAGTAAAAACACACACTAAAGTGAATTTTAGGGCAAACATACGCAATAAATGAACAAAATTTTTGGTAAACTATAAAAGATGAGGTTGCACCGAGTAAATAGATACCAAAACATGGCAAACCTTAAAGTGGCTCTAAAGACTCAAGGTTTTTTACCTTCATGCATTCTATGCATGAAGGTCAAAAAACTTTTCTGTGCAGCATCTTCCCAGTCCCCTTTAATACCCAAACGCCATCTAGATAGCAATAAGCACTGGAGTCTCGGTTATCCCAGACTCTCTCTCAGAGCCACTGGCTCCCACTGCTGTCAATCACAGCCAGTGAGCCAATGAGAAGTGTGAGAGGGGGTAGGGCCAAGCCATGGCTTCGAGTGTAAATGGACACAGGGAGCAGCGGGTGCCCCCATAGCAAGCTGATTGCTGTGGGCGCACCTGACAGGAGGGAGGGGCCAGGAGTGCTGGTGGGGGACCCAAGAAGAGGAGGAATTTTGGCTGCTGTGTGCAAAACCACTACACACAGCAAGTGAGTATAGACAAGTTTGTTATTTTTTCTAAAAAAAAAAAAAATAAGCCCTTAGAATCACTTTAAATACCACCAAAAGAAATCTTTGTTTTGTGTGAAAAAAATTATAAAAATTTCATATGGGTACAGTGTTGCATGACAGCGCAATTGTCATTCAAAGTGCGACAGTGCTGAAAGGTGAAAATTGGACTGGGCAAGATGGGGGTAAAAGTGCCCGGTAGGCAAGTGGTTAATGTGAGCAGGCTCATGCCTGAAGAGGTACTGAAAGACTGTGTGCAATTAGGAAGGAGCCTGTGCAGGTCACGTGGGACAAGTTTGTTTATCACAAAGCTGTGTGTGATATTGTGGTAAGTCTGTGCAGAGATCAGACTCAGAGACTAGGGAGTCAGGATAGCCAGGAAGCTGGGAAAGTTCTGGTTTGTTGTGATGCTGACAATCCCTACAAGGGTAACCTGTGTGTTTTGAACCTTACTTTGGAAATAAAGGGGGTAAAAAAAGCCCTGAAATGTACTTCATCAACTGGACTGAAATTGATGAAAAGTGCTACACTTAAGTGAACCTCCCACAATATATGGGGTTCAGTCCTAATGGAAGTGCTCATATAAGGCACAAAGCATTACATCCCCAAGAGTATCTTCTGGGCTAACACCCCGGTCACATCGAAGCCAATTTTGAAATTGTGCGACTTATTGTGAAGTCGCACGATGTCAAAGTTGGGTGACTTGAGGTGCGATTTGCAAGATATATGACACATATGTCTATGCAAATCGCACCAAAAGTAGTGCATGCACTACTTTAGAAATCAGTAATTCATCCCCCCCATATTAATTCATCCCTCATGTTAGTTAGTCAGTAAGTGAGAGAGTAGCAAGTACGCGGCTCCGACCAAGTCAGAACCGCACCGATATGACTGCTCTAATAGTGGACAATAGGGTACGACCTGGCATACGATTTGCAAGTTGCATGGCATGCAAATTGCATGTCAAGTCGCACCCCGTGTAACCGAAGTGTAAATCTTTCACGATAATAATATCTACATATGTTTTGGTGATACAAGTGTTGTGGACTGTGTGAACATGTGGATTGCTAAGGGAAGCCCAATCTCTAAACACAGCCCTGTTCAAAACCTTGAAGAAAATCAGAACAAGTTACTGACTATATTACCTTGCATCAAGTCATCATGTATGCTGGCAAGATTTCCTTTTAACAGTTGACATGCTGACCTTCCGGCAACCCAGTCCACCAACTCATCCTCTTCTTGGCCAAATATTCTATAACACTAAAACAGACAAGGTGCCAGTTATTCAACTGCATTATGGCATACCTTATAGAGTCAAGGCAGCTATTTTGTGTCAGTCCTTTCAGAGCAGGCATCCTATCTATACACTGGGGAACTGACAAGGTGAATATTGCTTCAGCACGTTAAATACATAACTGTCCATCATTTAAAACCCCATCACTTTGTTCCTCTTTCCAGATGTCAGTCTTGTTGATCTGATTCCCAGACCTCTATAAAAAATGTACTACTTAAAGTATATTATATGTATCACACCCTGTCGTGTACCTTGGTTGAAAGCCGAATTGACAAGAGGGCTTCCCTTGTGACTCTGGTCCGAGAACCCCTGAATGTGGTGACAGAGGTACAAGGCTCAAAGAAGCACGGGTGCCGACAGCTTGATAGCAGGTGACTGCCATGGTCAGGGATGTAGTCAAGGTGAGCCAGGGTAATACACAGTGAGACAGCAGCGTGGCCAGGAGGCAGGCTGGGTTTGGTACCAGGCAGAAAGCAGAGTGAGGTCCAGTAGCAGGTAAAGAATAGTCAGAGGCAAGCCGAGGTTAGCACCAGGAGATCAGGAAGAGAATAGTCAGAGGCAAGCTGACCATTTGGAAACTCGGGGCACTGCCCGAGGGCCCGGATCAGGGGGCCCCATGAGATGCCCCTGGTACCTTTTTCATAGGCTTTTTTGAATTTGGGCAAGACACAGGGGCCCCATGCCCTATTGCCCGGGAGCCTCATGAGGCAGAGAATAGTCAGAGGCAAGCCGAGGTCAGCACCAGGAGATCAGGCAGAGAAGAGTCAGAGGCAAGCCGAGGTCAGCACCAGGAGATCAGGCAGAGAAGAGTCAGAGGCAAGCAGAGGTTAGCACCAGGAGATCAGGCAGAGAAGAGTCAGAGGCAAGCAGAGGTTAGCACCAGGGGATCAGGCAGAGAATAGTCAGAGGCAAGCCGAGGTTAGCACCAGGAGATCAGCAGAGAATAGTCAGAGGCAAGCCGATGTCAGCACCAGGAGATCAGACAGAGAATAGTCAGAGGCAAGCCGAAGTTAGCACAGGGGATCAGGCAGAGAAGAGTCAGAGGCAAGCAGAGGTTAGCAGCAGGAGATCAGGCAGAGAATAGTCAGAGGCAAGCCGAGGTTAGCACCAGGAGATCAGGCAGAGAATAGTCAGAGGCAAGCCGAGGTTAGCACCAGGAGATCAGGCAGAGAATAGTCAGAGGCAAGCCGAGGTCAGCACCAGGAGATCAGGCAGAGAATAGTCAGAGGCAAGCCGAGGTTAGCAGCAGGAGATCAGGCAGAGAATAGTCAGAGGCAAGCCGAGGTCAGCACCAGGAGATCAGGCAGAGAATAGTCAGAGGCAAGCCGAAGTTAGCACAGGAGATCAGGCAGAGAATAGTCAGAGGCAAGCAGAGGTTAGCAGCAGGAGATCAGGCAGAGAAGAGTCAGAGGCAAGCCAAGGTCAGCACCAGGAGATCAGGCAGAGAAGAGTCAGAGGCAAAGCCGAGGTTAGCACCAGGAGATCAGGCAGAGAATAGTCAGAGGCAAGCCGAGGTCAGCACCAGGAGATCAGGCAGAGTTTCCTGAGGCACACACCCCTAGCTAGTTACTAGGATTAGGTATATTTAGTCTGTCTCACTCAGGGGCGGACTGAAAACTCATGGGGCCCCCGGGCAATAGGGGATCATGGGGCCCCCCGTTGTCCTCGCCCACACCCAAAAAAGCCTATGCAAAAAGCCAATGAAATGTACCAGGGGCATCGCATGGGGCCCCCTACTGACCCTGGGCCCTCGGGCAGTGCCCGAGTGTTCAAATGGATCAGTCCGCCCCTGGTCTTACTGTATCCAGTGGAGCTGTACTTTGTTGTTAGGCAATTTTTTAGTTTTGCTTCCAGTGTGTTTTATTATTCTAGTCTGTTCGGTGCGTCCCTTGCTGCAGGTTTGATTGCTCTCTCTGCTCTCTGTAAAACTAAGGGTTGTTCTGGAATGTAGGTGTGGAGCAAGCAAATGGGCCAATCCCTGGGAGAGTGGCTCAGATGGCTGCTGGGAGTCTGAATAAATACTCAGAGACATAGAGCTTCCAGGTCTTTTTCCTTAGAAAGAGATCAAAGCCTAAGGGGGCTGGTTGTGCCTGCTCTAAGATTTCCCATGTAATCCTCCACACTTATATTCCCAGCGACACTGGTGGTCAGAACAATTAGAGAGAGAAAAGTCATAGATGGATCAAGGCTGGCTCTGCAGGGACCATTTGAGATTCAATCCGCCTATGGGCAATCCATTGATGCTTGACTTTGGTAAATCAGCCTGTTGGATTTTTTTACATTGCAATTATAGCCGCTAGCAGTAACCATAATGCTCTGCTGCAGGAAGGCTCCCTGCCAGCAAAAAACTATAGCACTGCGGGAGGGATTCCTCCATCAACACTTACTGCCATTAACACTGACTTGGACAGTGAAAAACTAAAATCAAAAAATAACCAACACTGACTTCAACACTTAGTATTAAAAACAAAGCTTTTAGTTCCATGCATTTGCAAATATATGTAGAAGCCACACTGCCTTGTCCAGCCCCTCTGTGAGAAGACAGATTTCTAATGATAGCCATACACTATATGTAAAATCGTCCAATGTCGTTTTCAAATAATGAAAACTAAGTTGTGTGAGAACAAATAATAGTGCCATCATGTAATGACCGAATTTCAATCGATAAATCGTTCAATGGACATACACGAATCAGTTTTTGTCCGCTTTGTCACATACTATGGGAGACAAAATGAGAAAAAAAATCCAGACAATCACATTGGCTGATTTGGAAAGAATTTATTTGCAAATTATGGTGGAAAATAAGTATTTGGTCACCTACAAACAAGCAAGATTTCTGGCTCTCACAGACCTGTACCTTCTTCTTTAAGAGGCTCTCTGTCCTGCACTCATTACCTGTATCAATGGCACCTGTTTGAACTTGTTATCAGTATAAAAGACACCTGTCCACAACCTCAAACAGTCAGTCACTCCAAACTCCACTATGGTGAAGACCAAAGAGCTGTCAAAGGACAACAGAAACAAAATTGTAGACCTGCACCAGGCTGGGAAAAAAAATCTGCAACAGGCAAGCAACTTGGTGTGAACAAATCAACTGTGGGAGCAATAATTAGAAAATGGAAGACATACAAGACCACTGATAATCTCCCTCGATCTGGGGCTCCACGTAAGATCTCACCCTGTGGGGTCAAAATGATCACAAGAACAGTGAACAAAAATCCCAGGACCACACGATGGGGACCTAGTGAATGACCTGCAGAGAGCTGGGACCAACGAAACAAAGGCTACTTCTTCAGTAACACACTACTTCGCCAGGGACTCAGATCCTGCAGTGCCAGGCGTGTCCCCCTGCTTAAGCCAGTACATGTCTGGGCCCGTCTGAAGTTTGCTAGAGAGCATTTGGATGATCCAGAAGAGGATTGGGAGAATGTCATATGGTCAGATGAAACAAAAATAGAACTGTTTGGTAGAAACACAACTCGTCATGTTTGGAGAAGAGAGAATGCTGAGTTGCATCCAAAGAACACCATACCTACTGTGAAGCATGGGGGTGACAACATCATGCTTTGGGGCTTTTTTCCGCAAAAGGGACCAGGATGACTGATCCATGTACAGGACAGAATGAATGGGGCCATGTATCGTGAGATTTTGAGTGCAAACCTCCTTCCATCAGCAAGGGCATTGAAGATGAAACGTGGCTGGATCTTCCAACATGACAATGATCCCAAACATACCACCCAGGCAACGAAGGAGTGGCTTCGTAAGAAACATTTCAAGGTCCTGGAGTGGCCTAGCCAGTCTCCAGATCTCAACCCCATAGAAAACCTTTGGAGGGAGTTGAAAGTCCGTGTTGCCCAGCAACAGCCCCAAAACATCACTGCTCTAGAGGAGATCTGCATGGAGGAATGGGCCAACATACCAGCAACAGTGTGTGCCAACCTTGTGAAGACTTACAGGAAATGTTTGACCTCTGTCATTGCCAATAAAGGATATATAACAAAGTATTGAGATGAACTTTTAATATTGACCAAATACTTATTTTCCACCATGATTTGCAAATAAATTCTTTCCAAATCAGCCAATGTGATTGTCTGGATTTTTTTTTCTCATTTTGTCTCTTTTCATAAATCTCATAGTTGAAGTCTACCTATGATGCCAATTACAGGCCTCTCTCATCTTTTTAAGTGGGAGAACTTGCACAATTGGTGGCTGACTAAATACTTTTTTGCCCCCCACTGTATGTGCTATGCACACAGTTCAGTTTTTAATGGGCGAGAAACACATTAACCTTTCAATTTATAATTTTGTTCGGTAGAATTTGCCAACCTGTACCTTTGATTTTTTGGTCTCTGAAAAGTCAAAAACGAGTTTCTATTTGTGTTCATTAACTGAATGAAAAACAAAGGAACGATCCAAATGATATATTTTCTAATGATTTTTGCCTAGTGTATGGTTAGTACAAGGAGGGATTTCTCTCAGACTAGAAAGAACCTCTCACTTTCCTGTTTGGTCTACAAGACAAGAAGTAAAGAAAAATCTCCCTAAGAAGACATAGATGTGTAAAAATTCTAACAATGATCTAAAATGAGAAAAGTTTAGGTATTATATGTAAGTTAATAAATAAATAAATAAATTAATTATTAATTCCCTTTATATTGTAAAGTGCTGAGCAAAGTGTTGGCGCTATATAAATCCTGTATAATAATAATAATAATGTACTGAAAGTTTCCACTTTAGCCACCACAGGTTATCAGAAAAATGCTTAAACAAAATGAAGGATACATACATATCTACCAAGTAAAGGGAAAGAAATGCTATTTTTTTATCCTAATACAGAGGGGCCCAAAAAATGTATACACACTTCGAACATGAAAAATATATACATAAAAATGTTATTACTAGATTTATATAAAAATCAAAGGGTGGCTGTAAGTCATGTCTGAATTATGTAATCACATTAGAAGCTCAAAATGGTCACCATTAACATCCAGAAACATTTTATTTTGGTGAACTACTGCATGAATAACATTGACCAGAGCAGTGTGTTTCTCGACCTATTTCCAGTCGGGGTGCCTTCAGAAGTATTTTCAGTCTCGAGGCACCTCTGTCCAAGGCTTGCTTCATGTTACTGTGTGTCGCGGAATGCGCACAAAAACGCGCTCATTCCTAACACGCAGACAAATGCTCTGCTCTTTAGGGATGACATTCATTCTAAATGGTAGCCCCACAAATTGGCAAACGAAAGGGATTTTTGGTGTGGTAAAATTAAAAAAAAAAGGGTCAGGGACGATTTTCCCTGCATTTCTGCAGGTAGATCAGCCCAATGAAATGAATGGCCGCAGCTGGAAGTATACCCCCAGGTGAATAGGGCTGCACTGCAACCAACCTGCAACTGTGTGCATTGCACACAGGTACGGTTTATGATGCTGCATTTACGGGGTTAAAACAGGTGGCGAGGGGTGACATATTGCCTCTTTACCGCCTGTCAAATGCTTCTGAAAAGCGATCTGAGCATGGTTTGCTTTTCAGAGGAGCGGCAGCCCTTGCTGCTATTAGGAACAAGCCAAAAAAGCAGTTCTGATATTTAAAGAATAGGAGGTCAAGATTAAAAGTAACATTCACACATACAAACACCTGTGTACACACACACATATACACACACATACAAACTCATGTATATATATACACACACAGACGCATGTACACACACATACAGACATATGTACACACATACATACAAACATATGTGTACACACACACATATACAAACAAACTCATATATATACACACACGTGTACACGTAACACACACACATATATATATATTACACACAGATGCATGTACACACACATATATATACACATATATGCATACATACATATATACACATACATACATATATATATATGAAATAGGGTGAAGCGCTAAATACTATAAAAAACTTCGAAATACAATACTGTATTTTGAAGTTTTATGGTATTTAGCGCTGCACCCTATTTGATATTTGGTCTCAGAAGGTTGAATTGGTGCCTTTTTGGTGTATACAGCAGCTCGCCAATTAGTGCTCACTTTTGCACACCCATTTTAATATATATATATATACACACACACACATACAGACACATGCGCACACACACATACAGACATGCATATACACACACAGATACACAAACACATACAGACACGTGTGTACACACGCACACACATATACACACGTACACAAACACACACACACATATATATATAATATATATATATATATATATATATACAGTTGCAAGAAAAAGTATGTGAACCCCTTTGGATTACGTGGAGTTTTGCATTAATTGGGCATAAAATGTGCTCTGAACGTCATCTAAGTCACAACAATAGAGGAACACAGTCTGCTGAACATAATACTAAACAAACATTAGATGTTGCCATGGTTTAATTGCACATAACATGTAAACATTCGCAGTGCAGGGAGGAAAAAGTATGTGAGGCCCTAGCTTAATGACTTCTCCCAGAGCTAATTGGAGCCAGGAGTGAGCCAACCTTGACTCCAATCAGTGTGATGATATTGGATGTGTTGCTGACAACTGTCCTGCCCTTAAAAAAAAACACACCTGTTTTGGGTTTACTGGTTTCAAGAAGCCATGTCTGTTGATGTGAACCATGCCTCGCAGAAAAGAGATCTCAGAAGACCTACGATCAAGAATTGTTGACTTGCATGAAGCTGGAAAGGGTTACAAAAGTATCTCCAAAGCCTTGAAATGTTCATGTGTCCACGGTAAGACAGACTGTCTACAAATGGAGAAAGTTTAGCACTGTTGCTACTCTCCCTAGGCGTGGTCGTCCTGTAAAAAAATGACTGCAAGAGCACAGCGCAGAATGCTGCATGAGGTAAAGAAGAATCCCAGAGTGTCAGCTAAAGACCTACAGAAATCTCTGGCACATGCTAACATTTTTGTTGACACATTACATTAAGGAAAACATTAAACAAGAATGGAGTACATGGGAGGACACCACGGAGGAAGCCATTGCTGTAAAAAGAATATTGCAGCACGTTTGAAGTTTGCAAAAGAGCACCTGGATGTTCCCACAGCACTACTGGCAAAATATACTATGGACAGATGAAACCAAGATTGCTTGGTTGAGAAGAACACACACAAAACACTATGTGTGGAGAAAAAAAGGCACAGCACACCAGCATCAAAACCTCATCCCCACTGTAAAACATGGTGGAGGGAGCATCATGGTTTGGGGCTGCTTTGCTACCTCAGGGCCTGGATGGATTGTTGTCATTGATGGGAAAATGAATTCCAGAGTTTATCAAGACATTTTGCAGGAAAACGTACGACCATCTGTCCGCCAGCTGAAGCTCCGCAGAGGATGGGTGATGCAACAGGACAATGACCCAAAGCATACAAGTCATTCAACAAAAACAATGGCTGCAACAGCACAGAATATGCCTTCTGGAGTGGCCCAGTCAGAGTCCTGACCTCAACCCGATTGAAATGCTGTGGCATGACCTTAAGAGAGCGATTCACACCAGACATCCCAAGAATATTGCTACACTGAAACAGTTTTGTGAAGAGGAGTGGTCCAAAATTACTCCAGATCGTTGTGCAGGTCTGATCTGCAACTACAGGAAACGTTTGGTTGAGGTTATTGCTGCCAAAGGAGGGTCAACCAGTTATTAAGTCTAAAGGTTCACATACTTTTTCCTCCCTGCACTGTGAATGTTTACATGTTATGTGCAATTAAACCATGGCAACGTCTAATGTTTGTGTAGTATTATGTTCAGCAGACTGTGTTCTTCACATTGTTGTGACTTAGATGAGGTTCAGAGCACATTTTATGCCCAATTCATGCAAAAACTTCACGTAATCCCAAGGGGTTCACATACTTTTTCTTGCAATATGTATATATACACACACACATATACATACACACACAAACACAGACGCATGTACACACACACATAAAGACACGTGCATACACACACATAAAGACATGCGTATACACACACACATATACAAACACACATACATAGACACATGTACACACACACAAACACATATACAGACATACGTATACCTACAGACACATATGCAGACACACATACTGACACATGTACACCACAAACACACATACATACAAGTCCTGCAATTTACCAGCATCTCTACTACATCCTATCCAACATCCTGGCAGAATGTCATCAAGATAGGCTCTCACGTCTCGGTCGCAGTGTTGTGGTGCGCCATCTTGCTGGAAGTAAAATTGCTTATCCGCATAAACCGCACAAATGGCCAGTAATATGGTGATATTTACAATAGCGCGACTACTGACATAATACTACACATTGCTGCCATAATTCAATTCAGGTTTTAAAAAAAGGGCATAGATAACAGTTGGAGAGTGTATACAGTTTTTTGGGTCCCTATGTATATATAACTACTGTATACTATCAAAATCCAAAAAAACTGATTTGAGGGAGCTAGTATTCATAAAGGGAGGCAAAAGAGGCTTTGTGGAGCTCCCATAAGCAAAGGGGACTGGTCCAAGCTCTGCTTCCATGCCACTGCAAGAATAAGCCGTAATCGTCATGCAGATTACCTTCCCTCTAAATGCTAGCCATTCTGCTGGGCATCCGCCCTGTGGTGCAGGGACAGTTGGAGCAAATGTTGTATTGATGTTACCGATTTTTCTTTCACAAAATATATGAGCCTGGAGAACCACAGTTTACGTCATTCCAAAGTCCTGTTTTGGAAAATTCAAAAGTAATTATTAATATTTAAATATAAGTACCTGTAATAAATAAATACATCAATAAATCAATCACAAACACTGAAAATATAAACTTTATGAATACATGAGCAGGGGTTACCTTCACAGCTTAATTGTTAGCACCCTTCTAGACAGGTTGCTAGATGGTAAGAAAATGTAGTTTTTGGCTGGGTGGTAGTCAGCTCAGTTTTGATTTGAATTTTTTTTTGGATTTGGTTTCTCCTTAAGCTCAACAGGGTTGTGATTTCTCACTGTTGCAATACCAGGCTGAGTTATTAATATTTATATTTCCTCCAGCCATCCCAGGAGAAGGTTCAGGTCACTGGTGCATGCAGGGGGTGGGTATAAACACATGGGGGAAGGAGGTGTATGTGCCAGCTCTCTTGCCTCAGGCTGTGGCCTGGGAAGTTACTGCTGGACTGTTTATGCTGCTGATAGCCTGATTGGGACCTATGATGTGTTGTGGGAACAGCCTTACCCACCCTTCCAAGGAGATCCACCAGCTTCAGAAGCTGTTACTCTTAAAGGCATTGCTGCTGATCTGTATTGATGTTCGCCAGGGCCCTGGCTGTTGCAGGGATCAGGGGCCCACACCTGCAACTACAGTGACACCCCTGAGACTTCACCCCTAAGGATCCAGGCAGCTAAAAGTTCACTAGAAGACAAGAAGCTAAGTCTGGGCAGCTGTTCAGTGGCCTTGTGAGTAAGGTTCAGTTCACACTGTCACGACTTAGGATCCGACTTGTGAGACCCCAAGTCGTATTGAAATCCCAAGTCAGTCAAAGAGAGATTAGAACTTAATTAGAACTACTGAAGTCGCTCTGACTTTAGAAAAGGTTCCTGTACTACTTCAAGGCAACTTCTATCTGACTAGTGCCTATAGACTTCAATGGAAGTTGCCTCCAAGTCAGATGCTCACCTATAGTGATGTGATTTGGATCTGACGTTACAGATAGATTACCCAGGCAAAGTTGCATGGCATGAAAGTTGCGCATCAAATCGTATCAAAGTCGTACTCAAGTCGCCTGGCAAAGTCGCACTGTAAGTTGCATGATTTTCAGTTTGCAGTAATGTGAATCGAGCCTAAAAGATTGTTTGCTGATCCGGGTGATGTTTGGTACTTTTAAGGATATAAGAGCCAGGGTAGCTTTACAGGGTATATCTCTTGCAGTGCCCCTGATTTGGCCATTCCTTTCAGTCTCAGAGACTGGGATGTGATATTTGTAGGACAGTGAAATTAGTGGACTCCTCCTTGGAGCATCTCATACCTTATAACTCTCCCCAGTTACAAGTTTTTTTCAGTACGCTCAAAAGACTTCCCCTAGAATGGTTACTGGATCAGTGTGCATGGAACCATTACTGTGTGTATGCTGGCAGCCTCTACATGGTCAGGGAAAGACCCTTAACCCTTTGAGGACCGTAAGGTTTTAGAACGCCAAAAGAATCAATTTTTTTTTGTTTTTAAAGTTCGTACACTTCAGTTGCTGTAACTAAGCCATTTTATGAAATAATTGGCAAAAAGCTAGATCCATTTGTTGTTTGTTGATAAGAACTAATATTTTGACTCAAACCAAAAAAAAAAGAGTTTTAAGTTCTTAATCAGATGATACACACAATTACAAACATGGGACAAATACGTCCCTTGGTCCTCAAAGGGTTAATCATCATTATCATTTATACCACTGCTATCAGGAAATGTGCACTGTCTGTGCTTTTACCACATTCAATCATCATCATCCAGCAGCTCTTACAGGGATAGCACTACAATTGGATGATGTAAAGTTTGACGACTGATAGTATATGTAAATCTTTACTTCAGGTTGAGGTTTGCCCTACTTCTTGAATCTCTCAACTGGTGCTTTAATGTAATGGATGACTTTACTAACCAATAGGGGGGCTTGGAGTTATATATAGTGGGAGGTGAGCGGAGACTGGCAAGAGAGGAGGATCAGCAAACCAGATGATCCGCAGAGCTGGGGGTTTCTACTAAGTAAGGGATCAGCAAAGCTGGTGGTTACTACTGAGCGGGGGATCAGCAAAGCTGGGGGTACTTCCGAGTCAAGCATCAGCAGAGCTGGGGGTACTACATTAGCATTACACACCCCATACTTTCGCATCAGGGTGGAATTATTCTTTAAAACCCTACTGTTTTGAAAACATGTAGCGTGGATGAATTATACACAAAACATATACTGTACCATTGTCTTTATACAGCTCCACACAGTTCTCCTCATTGTTAGAAAAGTTGGGTTCATTTACTCCCCATGCCACATAATCAACAGGAGAGCCATCCAACCATCTAAAAAAAAACACAGAAGGCATGTTTAAAATTTCTGACAAACGTTCACACCGTCACATACTGCTATGTAGGTATTGGACTGCCTATATATTTTATGAGAAATGTTAGTAAATGTCTTCAATAAATAACATACTAATAATAAAATACATTCCAGGAGTTGTTCTTACTTAAAGCCCAACTCTAGCTTCAGTTATTTTTTTTTCCATATTAATTTTTCGGCACTAGATAAAATACAAAAACAACTCTCACTACAATTAAACCAAATGTGAAATAGAACGTTGGTGCTTATAGAGATTAGGCAGCTAGCAAACAAATACTGTAGGTCAATACAAAAACCTAACATGAAATATGGAAAAAATGTGCAGCTCCAATCTCTATCATAAGTACAGTAATCTGTATATCACCTGAATTTCAACAAAAAAATATATAAGAAATTATCAACCAAGAGTCCAATATAAAATAAAATAAAACTCAAATCAGTGAAAATAAAGTTGTCTCCACCACCATGAATAAAGCAGAACTACTGTATATGTAGCACTAAACCCCTTAGGAGTCGCCAAGTTTTGTTGGGTACCTTTATAGTCCTGAACAGCCAGGCAACATGCATTTTCTTCAGACTTCCATTCTAGAGACAGTAAACAGTCCTTGAGCTTGATTTTTTTACTTTTATTAGGGGTATTGAACTTGGATGGGGTTGAGGGGTGTATGGGATGCTCAAGGAACTGTAAACTGAGGGCAACTTCTTAACAACTATGTACAAGTCAAAAGACAAAAAATCCTCTTTTTGGAGAGCTTTCCAACCTCCCCTGGTGTACCACCCCAGATCCCAGATGAATCCTCTTCTTCACCCAGCTGCCTGAGGGAATCCCTGGGCAAAGGGGATCCAAAGCTGCCACTTTAAAGATTAACAGTCCCAGGTGAAGAGTTAGCCAGCTTTTCCACCAAAATGCCCTCTACTTTTTCCTGGCCCAGGGGATGTAGTATTACTCACTCAGTCCTCTCCTGTGAGCTTGTTGAGTTGGTGGCTACCTTCAGACCTTCTGCTGGGCTGGCTCCTTCCCTGGTTCCACAGGCGGCCTTCTCTCTGGGAACTGGTGAGGCTAAGTGATCCTCCTTTCCAGGTCACAGCCTGTAGGTAAACCTCTTCCCACTAGGCCCCCTCCCAGATTCCTGCATCTCAGCCTCTCCTACATCTTCGCCTGAACTCTCCTACTGCTGAGCAGGCTCTGTGACACTTAAAGGATTCCCTAGCCCCATGCCAAATCTCCTGCTTGGGGATTAGCCAGAGTCCCCTAAGTGTTCAGGCCAGCCCCTCCTCACCCCCACCCACTGAGTTCTAGAGACTTTTCCAAGTTTTTAGATCAGGGGGAGGTATCAGGGAACTGACCTGCAGAGCTCTCAGCCCTGACCCAAAATTGACCCCGCTGACTCATACCCAGGCTGCTACTCAGCCTTTCTACATAAGAAAAAAAAACAAAACTAGCTAGCTCCCCCTAGCTAACTAGAGGGGTGCTACATTCACCCCCTGCTAGAAAAACAGGGGCTTCCCATACAGAAAAAGGGAGGGGAAAAGGGAACAAACTTGGAGGGGGATATGTACAAATAAATAAAATGTAGAAAAATAGAATATGTACATTTTACATATTTACACTTGACAACAGAAACAAATATACAGCTAACTGTGGTTAATAGGTTAATAGCAGGAGAACAAAGTACCATGAAAACATATGTAAATGACACTCAAAAGATATGAAGCACCTCCCTCTTTAGGGAAATCCTTCATGGCAGTAGTATATCTTATTGTTCTAGAACAGGAAGACAGCAGTCTTGAGGTACCTGAAGAACAGTAATGAAAAGCAGCAACAAATAAAACCACAAAGCCCAAACTCTGGCTAACTATCTTCAAAACAGCTAAGGAACTTCAGCAACATTTTGAGAATGTCCCTTTTTTTTAAAATAAATCCTTAAAAGAGAAAACTTAAGGAGGAGCCCCTCCTAATAAAGTGGTAAAACTAGGTGGCCTCCTGTCAATACCCCAGACCAGCATATCTGGGAAAAGCAATAGGGATGGAGTCTGGCCTAGTCCGTAAGCAAACACGCCTGTTTAAGGAGCAGTAGGATCTGCTGGGTTGAGATTCTGTGTCAACAAGGTCAGCAGTATTTCTGAGGGCTGGGCAGTTTAACTGTGGTGCCATCAGATCTCTGGGCAGTTATGGAGTAAGTTAACTTTGGCCATCCAGCTTTGATGACTACTATCCAGTCCTTGTAAATAGCCCAGCCCCTGCTCCACTCCTGCTTGATATCCTGAAATCTGTTCCAGGCCTCAGTTAAATAAGGCCCCCTTAAAAGCTTGGGGACATGTAGATATTCCAAGACAATGTCATCTTGCCATTGCTGCCCTGAACTATCAATGGGGTCCATGACATCTTGAGGGACATAGGGATAGTCCCATCCCCACTCTAGAGCCACCTGCTTCTGAATTTCCCTGTGAAAGTGGGAGAACCTTTGTCCCCCAGTACTGGGTGCACAAAAGGGTGTGGGTACTGGCAGATCCACTTTTACAGATCAGAGTTCCTGGCCCTGGTCCTAGGCCAAGGTGCGGGAATTTAGGCTGGGCCCAAGGTGGCACATAGATAGACTCAGTCCTGCAAGGTGGTCCAGCTGAGTCTGGGGTGTAAGAACTTCCTGACGGTCTTGTAAGTGAATCTATATCCTCTGTGGTGTCTCCCCAGTCCCATTCCTCCTGTGTCATCAGAAAACTAGTCTTCCTGCTCTGCAACCTCTAGGGGCCCAAATGTAGCTAGTAGCTTGAGTGACTCCCAATTCACCCCCCCCCCCCAACCCCCAACCACCCTGATACCTCCACTGACACTTGAGGATTGGCTGTCCTCGCAGACTGGCTCCTTCCAGGGATCAGTCAGGGCTGGTGGGTGAGGCTGGCATCCCCAGGACCTCTGCTGATTCCTGCAGGGCAGAACTTGTGGGGCACCGGCCCATCATCAGCATCTCCGGATGAAGGATAGGAACAGCAGGCCATCCTCTGCTGAAAAGGTCGACTAACTATGCGGGGTAATTGTGGTCCAGGGACTCTACCCCGCTCTGTATCTCCAGCTCAAGACATTTTCCAGCTTTCCATCTCTCCGGCTTTTTTGTACAAAGTCCTGAATGCAAGTTCACTGTGTATGTGCAAAGGCACCAGATCTCTGGGCATCAGCTTAGTTAGCAGCACTCCACAATGCCTGCACTTGATCCAAATGCCGATCAAGGTGGTCAGCCTCCTGCATTCAGGGAAAAGCAAACATAACCTCTCAGCTCCTTCTACTAATCCTAGAACAAAGGCACCACTATACTACAGGCATACCCTGGAGTCCACCAGGGTAATTTCTGGCCAAAAGACTCATGGATACACCTGTAGTGCAGCCTCCATCTTTCTCCTCTCATGTTCTCTCACAGCATTCTGGGTGTATTGGGCAGCCTTAAGCATGTTACCACGCCCCTCCTTCGGACATTTTGACCCCAGTGAGACTGCTACTCAGCCTTTCTACCTTAAAAAATAAAAATAGCTAATTACTTCCTAGCTAACTAGAGGAGTGCTACATATAGGCAAAACTTTTTTTTTTCCATTTTGGATAGAGCAAGTCAAGATTATAAACCGTCAGATTTTTTTCACTATCTGAGTCCCATTGCAGAGATTTACCTTCACTTCCTGTCCCATAGCCAAACAGGAAGTCAGAGGAAATCCCCTCTATTACCTTCTGGGGATAACCTAAAATTTAGCATTTTTTTTACTTTCACTTTCAATGATAATGGTAAACAGGACAAATAGAGGGGATGAATCTTTGTAATGGGAGCATAGACAGCTATAAAAACCGACAAGCATTCTAATCCCTCTCCACTCTAACCAAAATTAAAATGTAAATTAAATTTTGGGTCCCCCTAAACTCTGCACAGCTAAGCAACACGTACTTTCCAGACACAAGAAACAGTCCATGGGCTTGGGTATTTTTGTTTTATTAAGGGGTTAAACTTGGATAGGTCAAAAGGGCAATAGGGCAAAAGTTTGCCCAATCTGGTTGAAGAAACAATAGAATGAGGAAGTACATTTTTTAGCACACTTAGGGGAAAAAAAACAATAGATCCTTGACTGCTATACAGCTGGAACCATCACAGGTTATTTTTAAAAATATTTTTCATATATTTTGTAATATATAAAAAAGCATTTCAACATTCAGTGTGTATATATATATATATATATATATATATATATATATATATATTATATATAGACACACACACATTTTTTTAAAAAATATATTGAATATGGCCAAAATTGTAGTATTTCAAATATATGTCAATATATTTGGGAAGAATATTTTTAAAATATATTTCAAATATAATTTTTCTTCCATGTGGGTATGTTTGTTCATGACATAGTCCAGCTACCCTGTATGTTGGGGCTAGTTAGTTTAATCCTTAGATAGGCCCCTCCCTTAGTAGAGTAATCCCCTTCTAGGAACTTGGTGTCCTTTGAGTGGATTATTAGCAACGTGACAATGTATAGGAGCCCCTTAGTGCACAGAATACCAGCCCACCTGGCTATGGTATCTGATACAAGGACAAGGGATTGACTAAACTATGAACTGTCCCCTGAAGACTTGCCAGAACTTGCATCCAGTGGACCTCTCCCTCTCCTTATACTTTAAATCTTTTTGTATACATCCACACCACACCCTTTGAGTGAATTGCTAACTCGCCAGAAGATTTTGCTGCAATAAATTTAGCACAGCTAGCTCAGATAATAACATCCAGACGAGCTTGCTCATCCACTGTCATCACTGTCATCACCGGTTTCAAGCATGGATACTGCCCCTTTAAGACTCAGGAATACAGCAAACCCGCACAACACTATGTCAGGAAAAAAAGCTTATAAAAGTAGCCGTGACATCATCACTGGGCTGTGATTTAGATTTGGATTTAATCCCAATAGGACAAGGTGGTGG